AAGATCAGGGCAGATATAAATGAAATTAAAACACAATAGAAAAGATCGATAAAATTAAGAGTTGGTTCTTTGCAAAGATAAACAAAATAGATAAACCCGTAGTCAGACTCATCAAGAAAATAAGAGAGGGCTCAAATAAATAAAACCAGAAGTGAAAGAGGAGAAGTGACAACAGACACCACAGAAACAAAGAATTTTAAGAGAATACAACAAACAACTCTATGCCAACAACTTGAACAACCTAGAAGAAATGGGTATATTCCTGGAAACACACAATCTTCCAAGACTAAATCAGAAAGAAACAGAACATATGAACAGACTGATTACTAGTAATGAAATTGAATCAGCAATCAAAATACTCCATACAAACAAAAGTCCAGGACCAGATGGCTTCACAAGTAACTTCCACCAAACATTCAAAGAAGAATTAATATCTATCCTTTTCGAACTATTCCAAAAAAATTGAAGAGATGGGAAAGCTTCCAAACTCATTCTATGAGGCCAGCATTACCCTGATACCAAAACCAGACAAAGACACTACAAACAAAAAGAAGGAAGGGAGGGAGGGAGGAAAGCAGATTACAGACCAGTATTCTTGATGAACATAGATGCAAAAATCCTCAACACAATATTAGCAAACCTAATTCAGCATTACATTAAAGAGATCATACACCATTATCAAGCGGGATTATTCCAGGGATGCAAGGATAGTTCAATATCTGCAAATTAATCAATGCAATACATCATATTAATAAAATGAAAAATAGAAATCATATGATCATCTCAGTAGATGCATAAAAAGCATTTGACAAAATTTAACATCCCTTTATGATAAAAACTCTCAACAAAGTGGATATAGAAGGAAACACACTTCAACATAATAAAGGCCATATATGACAAACCCACAGCTAACATCATATTCAACAGAAAAAAAAACTAAAAACTTTCTCTCTAAGATCAAGGACAAGACAAGAATGTCCACTCTCACCACTTTTATTCAACACAGCATTTGAAGTCCTAGCCATGGCAATCAGACAAAAATAAATAAATAAAGGGCATCCAAATTGAGTAAGAAGCAAATCTGTAACTATTTGCAGGTGACATGACTCTATTTATAGAAAACCCTAGAGATTCCCCCAAAAACTATTAGAACTACTGGAAATGGATCTACCTTATGACCCAGCAATCCCACTCTTAGGTATTTATCCAAAAAAACCCAAGACATTAATCCGAAATAATATATGTACCCCTATGTTCATTGCAGCACTATTCACAATAGCTAAGACTTGGAAACAACCAAAATGCCCATCGGTAGACGACTGGATTAAGAAACTATGGTACAGGGCTAGCTGAGTGGCACAATGGTTAAGAACTGGCTTGGGACGCCAGAGGGCCCCGGTTTGGATCCCACATATGAGGGCCAGTGACACTGCCCTCCGCAGCTAAGATGCTGAACAACAGCTCAACCTGGAGCTGGGCTGCC